ATATATATATATATAATCCATGCCATACACAGCTATTAAGTTTTTAAATTTTATTTTTATATAAAAATTCGTATGACTGAAATATTTTTAAATTTTTCAAATTTAAGAAAATTTAGTTTTAGCCTTTTAAATTTAAAATTAATCTTTTTAATCTCTACAATTTGAAAAAAAAAATATTTTAACTCTTCATGTCATAAGTGGCATATTTGATGGTGATAAATTAGGATAACATCAGTTAGGTTTAATGTTTTCTCTAACAATAATACTTGCAGGTAAGGTTTGTTTTGACAAAATATCACATATTCATTAAAGAAATTTAACCATAAAAATTAAAACAAAATTTTTTAAATTACAAAGATCGAAAAGATTAGTTTTAAATTTGAAGAATTAAAAATAAATTTACTTTAAATATAAGAAATTATAAACATATTTAAGCTGGTTTATATTAACTTATATACATTTGAAATCATATAAAAAGTGAATATCAATAAATATATTTACATGAGTTTATATTTTCACATGTATTGTAAACATATTTAGGCCTATTCAAGCTCACCCATCTATTAGCGCACCAAAAACAAGTCGAGTGGAACTGATATGTCAAATGAAAACGGATTGGACATCTTGACCCTCCCTGCTTAAGAATGGATTAGTGGGCTGACCCATTAAAAAAACAAAAATATATATATTTATTTTTTGTACCTCTTCTAACATATTTCTTTCTTAATATTTAAATGACTCACATAAATTAGTATATATAAATAAAAAAAATAAATTTCAAATTATGATAAATTTGGTTTAATTTGTTACATAATAAATTTTAAATTTGTTACATAATAAAATAGATATGTAATAATAATAATAATAATAATAATAATATTATTATTATTATTATTATTATTATTACAACAACTTTTTCAACAAATTTTCTATATAAAAACTCTTAAAGTATATATAATAAAATAAATCCATAATATATTTGATACATGAGAAATTATAAATTATTCACGTAATAAATTTCATATAATTTATTTAAATTATTAAAAAAAAAATTAGACAGAGTGGCAAGTCAATTCATCCCTAACCCTATTTGACCTGATAAGTTGGTGAGTGAGGTGGAGAATTTTTTTCTGAAATAATATTTTTTTAAAAAAAAATTACAAGAATGATCACTGTGCAGGATTATTTACCAAGATAGAACCATTTACTGTTCAAACTCAGAATTCGGTTCCCCGGGAACCGAATTCTGAGTTGAAAAAACAAAAAAAATTACATTTTGATGCTCAGAATTCGGTTCCCGGGGAACCGAATTCTGAGCTTGAACAGTAAACGGTTCTATCTTGGTAAATAATCCTGTACAGTGATCATTCTTGTAATTTTTTTTTTAAAAAATATTATTCCAGTAAAAAATTCGTGAGGTGGGAAGAGGGCACATGAACTAGTAGACTAGGATGCTCAATCAAACCGGTCAATTTTTTGTAGGCCAATCATTTGGACCATTTTGTCATTCCCAATCTTGTATCATTTTAATTCATATAAAATGTGTTTTAAAAGTATGATTTATATCCATTAAAAATATGATTTATATATACACATAATTTTAATATTTATTTTATCATGTTAAAAAAATAGTTCAATGAGAAGATACTATAAAAATATATATTTATATTAAAATTAATATAACATTACATTTTAGAAAATAAAAAATATAATAAAAAGAATTACGTAATTAAGATGTTAATGTACTTATATGTCAAAAGTTCATTTTCATAAGTTGTATACATTTCATGTAAAAAAAAAAAAGTTGCATTTATCTGTAACTTAATTATTAATCGATAGATATATAATGTGAAAAGGCTAGTGATTATTATACATAAAAAAATAAATCATTCCCTTAATCCACCTAGTGTGTGCGTTAATTATATGAATAAATACTATATTAAACGTGGTCTAAAAGAAATGTCATCAAACATTTCAATAAAGACATGATACTGTTAAGTATTTATGTAACTAAGTTAATTATATTTAAATATTTTAGTAACATCGTAATATTATCAATCACACATCGTTAATTTAATTACTTATAAAAAAAAGCTTTTAAAAAATTATTTTAAAACAAATTAATCATATTTACATATGTATTTATATTTATTCTAAATTTTATTTTATTCAAGTCGATCAATTCACCTTTAAAATTATTTAAAAAATAATATGTTAAATCAGTTGTTTTTGATATTTTTTGCAAACACTTAGAAAATGATTTAGATACAAAATGGAATTATATATATA